GGAAGGCTCCTGATTCCTCCCTTCCCAGGGCTCATCACACAGGGAAAGTCCTTCTGCCTCCTCTTTATCAGCTCCAGAAAACCTCTCTCAGACCGATTTGGGACTTTGAACTCCCGCCCTGCTTGAGGTTCAGGGCGTGACCTATCTTCTCATAAACTATACCCCTCCCTTTCACCTTTGGACTCCTCATCAATCCCTCCCCACCTTTCCCCCACCTTATGTGAACTGCCTGGGTCTTCTCCCCCAACTCAGAATTTAGAACCTGACTGCGAAGGATTTTGTACCTGAAAGAAACCTTTCCTGCAATCTCAATTGCAACATGAGCCCACCCGCAAGCAATGCTGGGGATGTCCTGTCACCCCACTGCTGGGGCCTCCCCTCCACCAGGGCTCATGCTCCGTCGGGGCACAGTGTTCTCTCTGCTCTGCATTTCCACAGCATGGACTGTCCCTTGGCCTCATTGGCAGGGAGGGGCCTCATGGGCAGTGGGAAAGTGTGGGGTCCCTGGTGGGGGTTCATCCTAGTCGTGTGACCCGGACAAGCTGTTAACTCTCTCTGACCCCATGGCCACCAGGCCACCTCGCCTGCTGCTATGGATCAAATTGTGTCTCTCCTCCCGCCCCCCCAAAAAAGACATGCTTGAGTCCTGACACCGAGGACCTCAGAATGTGACTTTATGTGGAGATCGGGTCTTTACAGAGACGATCAAGTTAAAATGAGGTGATTAGGGTGGGTCCTAATCCAACAGGACTGGTGTCCTCCTAAGGAGAGGCTGGGACACAGACACCCATGGACAGTGGGAAGACACAGAGAGAAGATGGCCATCTGCAATCCCAGGGAGGAGGACTGGGACAGAACCTCCCGTCGAGGCCCTCAGAAGGAGGCAAGCCTGCCAACACCTTGATTTCAGACCCCTTGGCTCCAGAACTGTGAGCCAACACATCCCTGTTTTTTAAGGACCCCGTTCTGCGGTACTTTGCTACGGCAGCCCCAGCACGCTAATGCACCTGCCCTGTTAACGTCCCAGAAGGAGAGAACCATGCAGAGATGCTGTGCAGTGAGCGCTGTCAATCCGTTCATGCCAGGAGCAAACATGGACCGCCTACTGTGTGCCAGGGCCTGAGCCTGGGTGCCTGGGTCTGCAGGACCGACTTCCTGAGGCCCTTTATTTGCTCCCTTGATGTGAGTCCCTCTCCCAACCCCCTGTGAGGTGGAGCCCTCTCAGTCCTCACAGCTCCTAGTTCATCATTAAGCACAGAGTAAGTACTGAATAAATGCCCATAAAAGTGTATGGATTTGTAATAGCTGCAGGTTATTCAGCATAAAAGTCTCGGGCGCCTGGGTGGCTCAGATGGTTAAGCATCTGCCTTCGGCTCAGGTCATGATCCCAGGGTCCTGGGATCAAGTCCCACATCAGGCTCCCTGCTCCTTGGGAGCCTGCTTCTCCCTCTGCCTCTCTCTCTCTGTCTCTCATGAATAAATAAATAAAATCTTAAAAAAAAAAAAAAAAAAACAAGTCTGTATGTGGGTGTGCTGAGTATTTTATAGTCTTCGGCAACATCCAGAAAAACGAATCATAGTTTAGGTCCAAAATAGCCTCGCTTATTTTTGTGCTATGACAGGCCAGCCTTGTTTTGGGGGGCGTAGGATATTGGGCCCCAAGTGACAGCATCTCCGTTTGCTCTCATGGCCTCACCCCACCTTGCATGGGTGCAGATCATGGCTTTGGAGAGTGTTTCGAAGTGAGGTTATGTTTTCTTGGTGTAGCTGACTGTAGATAAAAGGCATTTCATGCGATGCTTCGTGCAGAATCTCAATAATTCTAATACCCCTGGAAGTCATTTTAAAATGGCCTTTTGAGAGCTCTGCTTTATTCTTCAATAAGAAAGAAAGAAAGGAAGAAAGAAAAAGAAAGAAAGGAAGGAAGGAAGGAAGAGAGAGAGAGAGAGAGAGAGAGAAAGAAAGAAAGAAAGAAAGAAAGAAAGAAAGAAAGAAAGAAAGAAAGAGAAAAGGAAGGAAGGAGGGAAGAGAGGAAAGAAAGAAAGAAAGAGAAAGAAAGAAAGAAAGAAAGAAAGACAAAGAAAGGAAGGAAGGAGGGAAAAAAAGGGCAACACATTCAGGGCAAAAGCAGCCCCTGCAGCATGTGGACATCGAGTGATGCAGGGCAGAAGGGTTTTGGGCACGACAAGAACGAGAATGCCAAGCACATAAATTAGAATGCCGTCTTTCCCCTGCAAACAGTGAATAATTCTAGATGCCGAGTGTCTCAGGGAAGATCTGCTGGGCATATGGCCCCTCTTTCCCTTCATGCCACTTTTCTTTGCTCCTCCAGGGTGCAAGGAAACCAGCGTGAGTCAGCAGCTGGCCACAGCGCGCCGACACATGAGAAATAAGTGAGGACATGTTTTCAAGTTCCTGGGGAATGCGCCACCATGCTCAATCCAAAACACATTTACTGAGTGGCTAAAATATGCCAGGCCCCATGGGAATACGGGAAGGGCCCTTCACGCAAGGAGCACATGACAGCCCAGTTCCACGATCACTTATTGAATGACTTCTGCATACCAAGCACGGTAGGGTCGGGCAGTGGGGAGACCAAGACGAATGTGCTGTGATTCCTGCCCCTAACAGAGTTACAGATTCATGAGGGAGAGAGATTCATAAAGAGTCACATCTTATTTTTCCTTCTGCAGCACTGTCTAAAGGAGGCACAAGTAATTACACCCATATTACAGATGTGGCCACTGTGACCTAGAGGTCCAGCCCGTGGGGTGGGGGTAGGCAGTAAGAGAGGTGGCGTGCGGACCTAGCCTGGCTCCGCGCACTGGGCTGACGTGGCGGCCCCAGCAGACGAGACGAGAGGCGAGAGATCCCAGGCAAGAGATGAGGGGCGGACAGGTAAGGGGCCCACAAGAGTGCCGGAGAGGGTGGAAACCGCAGAGCAGGGAGTGACTCCCAGGGGAGAAGGGGAGAGGCGGCGGGGATGGGGTGGACTTTGAGCTGAGTTTGAAGACCAAGGAGGATTTCAACAGGTCAGGAGGCCGGGGAAGCCCAGGGCAGGGGGAGGCCGGAGCAGACCACGGGGGTAGGGGTGGGGGCGTGCTGGGGGAGCTGGGGGCGGGTGTGTGGATGGAGCACGGGCAGGGGCAGAGCTCACAGGGCGTGCTGGCAGGCCGCAGGGTTACATCTGTCTTGCAGGTGCCATCGGAGACTCTGAAGAGGGATGTGACCCGATCCAGCCTGTGTCAGGGGCAGGTCACTGACAAGGGCGGGCAGAATTGATCAGATGAGAAATCGATGGACATCCAGGGGCCAAAGACTCCTGATACTCCAACTCTCTCTTACGGGGAGCAGATGACCAAACTAGGACGCTGACCGAGGAAACTGGGGCCAGGCCCCACGGGCCAGAACAAGGGCAGACGTTCCAGCCAAGGCGGCCAGTGGTGGAAAGATCTGGAGAGACAAGGCTCTCAGTGGCCACCAACATCTAGTCTGGGCATCCAGGTCCACCAGTCCGAAGATGCAAACAGGAGACCCTGGCAGAGTCAGAAGATGGCAGAGCTGCAGGACGACCCTGGGCAAGACCCCACATGGCACTGGGGGGTCTTTGCCTTGGCAACATGGTGGTGGGTGGTGTGAGCAGCACATGCAGTCTCAGGGAACAGCCCTCTCCGGAGTTCAACAGAGAGAGAGAATAAGGACTTGGACGAGGAAGGGAATGAAGAAGGGATGAAGAAGGTAGCTCTGATCATGGTAGTGGGGCAGGAGAGGGGAGGGTCCACGGAGAGAGCCACAGGAGCGAGTCACAGGTGCCACGGCTCGTCACAGAACAATGTTAGGGACGTTCAGCTGTGAAACTGCAGGTTTAGCGTGATCGCGTTTGTGCCAGGGGAAAAAATACACATATACGCACCAGAAAAAAACTGGAAACGTACGCACAAAACATGGACAGCGGTCTTTAGAAGATGGGGCTATGAAAATTGTGAACTCTTCTTTCTCTCGTTTACCTGTGCTTGCCAAAATCTGTGCTGTTAGTACTTTTCTTTTGGCCTGAGTTAGATTTTGAAAAAAGAAGAGGCACGCAGCTGTACCCAGGCCTTCCTCATCACGTCAAAGCCAATTCAAGAGGCAGTCTGTAAAATGCTTACAGTATTACCGTGCTGATCAGTGTCGCCCCAGGAGCAGGAGCCTGAAAATAATGAGGACGTGAAATTAGCCAGTCAGTACCAGCAGCAATTTGTGATGGAAAAAAATAGCCCAAGTCAACTTTATGTCCAGCCACGATCGCTGTGAAAGCTACCAACTAGCATTCCAGCTTCTTCCACCCACCTCTGTACACATCAGCCCTGTTCTTCAGCCAGAGCGACCCCTTTCATCGTCTAAGTCAGACTGCATTGCCGATGTCAGTTTATGCCTCGGGGCCTTTGCAATGGTTGGTCCTTAGGCTGCAGTGCTCTTTCCTGGTATCTGACATGGCTGACTCCCTCCTCTGATCTCGGTTCAAGCTCTACCTTCTCAGAGAAGCCTCCCCTGATCATTGTAGGTAAAGTAGCCACCATCCCCCAGCAGACAGCCTATCGAGTCTAACCTCACACTGTCCACAGAATTTTCTGTGATGATGGGAATGTTCCGTATCTAACACTGTCCAACTAGAGACACTGGCTACTGACCACTAGGAATATGGCTCTCATGACTTCTAAATTTTGTTTCATTTTGATGAATTTAAACCTAACTGTCCACATGGAGAGGGGCGGCTGTATTGGGCAGCATGCACTAACCCACTACCCGTCTTGTTTTGTTTCTGCTTTTCTGGTAGCATGTCCGAGTCTGAAATGATCTCACTCGTGTGTTTGCTTACAAATTCATTGTCTGTCTTCCCCATTAGAACGTAAGTTCTGTGAGGGAAAGGGCTTGTCTGTCTTCTTCACCGCTATGATCCAACCCCAGATACGCAAGGTAGCGCAGCAAATGACGAGCAAATAATAAGAGAGAAGGCGGACTTTTAAGTTATTGCCTTTATTTTGATGGTTTGGCTCCATCTTGTACCATATAACTATTGCCAAAGTGCTGTATAACAAAAACACCAAAAAAAGCAGTGACTTAAACACTCTTTCCTCTCACAGATCTGTGGGTTACGGAATGGTCAGCTGATCCAGGCTGGGTTTGGTGGAGATCACTCTCGCATCCATGGCTGCCTAGGGCTGGCTAACGTACACTGAATTGGCAGGGATGGCGCTGCTCCCAAAAGCACCCTCCTCCAAGGATCAGCGGCTGGCCTGGGCACACTCTTCCCATGACCCTGGCAGACACACCTGGAGCAAAGAGAAGCATGCGAGGCCTGTTGAAGCTGAGGCCTGGGAACGGAAACACCTTCGCTTCTGCCCCATCCTACCGGCCGATGCCAATCCGTGCTGGACCCAAAGGGACGCACGCTCTGCCCACAGTGGGAGCGCCCTGAAAAAGCACATGGTGAAATGTGTGGACCCCGAGAGATGGGAAGACCGGGAGCCATTAACACCATCTCCCTGTGTTACTGTTGTAGCGGCCCGGGCTGCTCACGACCCTGAGATCAAGACCTGAGCCGAGATGGAGTGGGACGATAACTGACTGAGCCATCCCAGTGCCCCCAGTTTTTATTTAAGATCGAGAGAGCTAATGCGTGGAAAGACTGTCTACACGGTCATATTTCTATCTCAGCGTGAATGAGTTGCACACTCTTCTCAGAGATCAGGTTTGCATTAGGGCCATGTAGGCAGGAAAGGAAGGCACAAAGGGACATTAGGGTCACCCAAAAAAAACTTGCTCTTGCTTCAAAATGTTGACTCAGACCAGCATCCGGAGTCATCATCAAAAGCTGAGGGCATTACTGTCTCCAGAAGTGTTACCTCGAGAAAGACACAACAACCTCAAACAAATCAAAGGAAACATCAGACAACAAAAATTAGGAATATTCAATTTTAAAATGGAAGGAGGAGCTGTACTTTTTAAAGATGTCAATATCAAGGGGCACCTGGGTGGTCCGGTCAGTTAAGTGTCTGACTCTTGATCTCAGCTCAGGTCTTAATCTCTGGGTAGTGAGTTCAAGCCCCGTGTTGGGCTCCACGCTGGGCATGGAGCCTGCTTAAAAAAAATTAAAGTTTTTAGAAAATAAAAAATAAATAAAAATGTCAATATCAATAAAGACAAAGAAAGGCTGTAAAAAAATTCCAGATTAAAGGAGGCTAAAGAGACTTGGGTATTCAAGGCAACACCTGACCCTGGGTTGGATTCTACACGAGAGGAAAACAGTGTGCTGGGAAGTCTACCTCAGTCAACTGACAAAACTAAAATATCAACATAAATTCATGCATTGCACTTATGAAAGAGAATGTCCCTATTCTTAGGAAATACGAAGGCAAGTATTTGGGGAGAAAGGGCCATAATACAAGTGGTTTATTCTCAAATGGATCAGAAAAAAAGACGATGGTAGACAGACAGACAAAGCAAATGGGGAAAAGCATTAAAAATAGGTGAATCTGAGTAAAGGGTATATGAGTGTTCTCTACACTGATTTTATCTTTGTAGCTTTTTGTAAATTGGAAGGAATTTCCAAATATATATTTAAGAGAAAAAAAGTTGATGAGATGGTTATAGAATAGGCAGAATAAAATACAGCTAGCTTTTAGTATTTGTGTCTTGTTTCCAGTGCAAGTCACTGGTGGGCACCCACACACGCGCACACACAGTTGGCTAACTGGCAGCTGATCGTACTGACATCATCAGTGTTCTTTAAGCAACTACCAACCACATGTCAGACATGTTCACATGTCACAGAAGCCTGACAACAGCCTGGAGGGGTGGCTGCAGTGATTTCCACTTGCATGAGAGCAGGAGGCCCACTTTGGTGTAAACCCCTGTCCTAGAATGGTTCAGATGTGTTCCCACAGACTCATGCCCATGGCCAAAGGAAATTCACAATCAGAAACTCTTCTTTCCTAAAACCTTCGTGAGACCCCAGGAGCTCCAGGCCGAGGGGCAGCCCTGCTCAGAGAGTGGGAGGCCAATCAATGCCCAGAGAGGGTCCTTACCGTGTCGGGGAGGGTGCGGGGCTTCGGGGCCCCACTGGCATCCCACGCCTGGGTGCGCACACGCTGTGACTCACAGTGCCCCTGTAGGCCACGGCAGCCTGGAAATGCCCTCCCCTGTGCCTCCTAGAAGGCCCAGAGTGGAGAGAGGGAAAGGATGTGTAGGTACCAGGTGGTACAGAGAGGACAGGAACAACAGCGCCCCTGCCACCACCCTGGCTTCTAATTCATACCCGGCACAGGACTAGGACATGACTCGGGCAGCCCAGGGCAAAATGGGCATGTGGGGCCCATTTGTGGGTCCAAAAATATTAATAATTTCCAGATGATAATGTCTGAGCATCAAACAAACATGGGGCCTTCTGCACGTGGCCCGGGGTGACCACACAGGTCACAGACCCATGAAGCCAGTTCTGACCAGACCTCGTGCTGGGAACTTTATATAAGTTTTTTCTCATCTCTTTACAAAGATCTTCAAGGGGGCATTTAAAAAAATTTTTATTTTAGGGGTGCCTGGGTGGCTCAGTTGGTTAAGTGACTGCCTTCAGCTCAGGTCATGATCCTAGAGTCCTAGCATCGAGTCCCGCATCAGGCTGCCTGTTCAGCGGGGGGTCTGCTTCTCCCTCTGCCCCTCCCCCCTCTCATGTGCTCTCTCTCTAACAAATAAATAAAATCTTCAAAAAATAAATAAATAAATTTTATTTTAATTCCAGTTAGTTGACATAGTGTTATATTAGTTTCAGGTGTACAATATAGTGATTCAGCACTTCCATACACAACCCAGTGCTCATCACGACAAGTGCTCTCCTTAATCCCCATCACCTGTTTCCCCCGCCCCCCCAACCCTTCAAGGAGGCATTTGTAATCCCCACTGAGTTGATGAGGAAGCTGAGCCCCACAGTGGTTAAGTGAACAAGACATAGCTAGTAGGGCTCAGTAAAGAATGAATGAATGAATGAATGAATGAATGAATGAATGAATGAGTGAATGAATGAATGAAGCAGATGGCTCTGATTTCAAAGCTAGTGCTGTTTTGGCACACCACAGGTTCACTGAGGAACCCCCTTGAGGACTCTAGGAGCTTCTTGGGCTCCTAGAGTTAGCGGAATCCTGGGTCTGACTGTTTTTTTCTGACCTGGCTTTGTACGCAGATTATCACATCTCTAAGAGACCCCAGAAACTCAGCCCTGCAAACTTGCACAAGATGTGCAAACAGCAAGTGGCAAGACTCGGGATCCTCTGTACCAATTCTCTTTCATTCCCATGAATTCACAGCTGCCAGAGCCTGTAGACCTTCCTACCTAGGAACTTACCATATGAAAGACCCCTCTGTCGTTAGTCCTAGATCCGTCTACTGTGAGTCAGAACTCATGGTTCTATAAGCCTGCTGCACATTCTACATCTTATTACACACCTGAAATGGTGGCAACTCTTCCTTATCTTCTGAGTAAATCTGATATCTAGAAAAGCCAAAAGTCATTGTATGCCAAGTTAAGTTGAGAATATTTTTGAGGCTTGCTTGTTTTTTCCTGTTTAAGAGGAAAACATATATAGCAATAAAGTAATGACTTCAGAGTTTACTCTTCCAAAAACATGTTCTAACAATCTTCTGAAGAAAGTGCATGGTTATAAAAGGTACATAATCTTTGAGAGTGAAGGACTAGTCCTCTGGAGGGGAAATTTGCTGCAAAAGTTAAAACATTCATTCTAAAAAGACAGTCTCCTTGAGTCAATAACCAAAAACCTCTCAACAAAGGAAAGCCCCAGGACCAGATGTCTTCACTGGCAAACCCTACAAACATTTAAAGAATTAACACCAGTCCTCGAACTCTTCCAAAAAACTGAAGAGGAAAGAACACTTCCCAACTCATCCTATGAAACTAGCATGATACAAAAGCCTGACAAATTCACTATAATAAATAAAATTATAGACCAATATCCCTGATGAATATCAATGCAACAATTTTCAACAAAATACTAGCAAAAAGATTTCAGCAGTACATTAAAGAGACTATACACCATGACCCATTGGAATTTATTTCTGGAATGCAAAGCTGGTTCAATGTATAAAAATCAATTGATTTAATACACCACTTAACAGAATATAGAAGATAAAAAGCACATGATCATCCAATTGATACAGAAAAAGCATTTGACAAAATTTAATACTCCTTGATAAAAACACTCAATAAACTAAGAATAGAAGGAAACTACTTCACTATACTATTGGCTGTTTATAAAAAGCCAATATTTCACTTCATACTCAATGGTGAACTGAAAGTTTTCCCTCTAAGATCAGGAAGAAGACAAGAATGATGGCTTTTGCCACTTCTATTCAACAAAGCACTTGTTCCAATCAGAACAACTAAGCAAGAAAAAGAAAACAAGGGCATCCAAATTGGAAAGGAAAAAGTAAAATTATCTCTGCAGACAACATAATCTTATATGTAGAAAACCCTAACGATTCCATTTTTTTAAACCATTAAAACTAATCAGTGAGGGGCACCTGGGTGGCTCAGTCATTAAGCATCTGCCTTCGGCTCAGGTCATGATCCCAGGGTCCTGGGATCGAGCCCCACATCGGGCTCCCTGCTCAGCGGGCAGCCTGCTTTTCCCTCTCCCTGCTTGTATTCCCTCTCACTCTCTCTCTCTCTGTCAAATAAATAAAATCTTAAAAAAAAAAAACTAATCAATGAATTCAGCAAAGTTGCAGGATACAAAAATCAACATATAAAAATCAGTTGTGTTTACATGGACTAAAATCAAACAATCCATAAAAGGAAATTAAGAAAACAATTCCATTTACAATAGCATCAAGAAGAATAAAATACTTCAGAGTAAACTTAACCAAGGAGGTAAAAGATTTATACACTAGAAACTGCAAAACATTGCTGAAAGAAATTAAAGGCAACACAAATAAATTGAAAGACATCCTGTGTTCATAGATTGGGAAGCTTAATGTTCTTAGGATATCAAAACTACCCAAAGCAATATACAGATTTAATGCAATCCCTACCAGAATCCCAATGGAATTTTTTGAAGAAATAGAAAAATTCATCTTAAAATTCATGTGGAAACTCAAGAGATCCTGAATAGCCGAAGTGATCTTGAAAAAAGAAGAACAAAGTTGGAGACCTCACACTTCTGGTTCCAAAACATTATGCAAAGCTGCAGGAATCAAAACAGCAAGCTGGCATGAAGACAGGCATAAAGGACAGTGGAATAGAATAAAAAGCCCTGAAATAAAC